CGTTTGTAACCCATATCAAAATATGGGTTAAGATTACAAAAGTGACAACAAATATTGAGACATTCCCATTTTTTAAGCAAGTATTGGCCTCTCAGATACACAATTCGGATTTATCTGATTACCTGGGAGTCAGAAAGACCATTGATGGGCTTAAATATAATTTTTCCTGTCCAAGACACAACAGATGCGACTTTGTTGCAAGGGCACTTATTTGTTTCCAAGGCCGAACTGAAGCTAATTTCTGCTTTAAAAATATACTTCTCACTTTTAGATTTTGAGAAGACAATTGTCATGAACTAAGAGAAGAAAATATTACTTGATGACTATAATATGTTTTTTTTGTTTTTGTTTTTCAGGACATCTTACCAAACAGGGGAACCAGTTCATTCGTGATAGCCACGATTGTTTCAGAGACAAATGAAGTGGGTGGTGAGGGTGAGGCGACAGGCACCGGAGTCGTGTAGTAATGGAATGAAGTGGTATTCTTAACGACCCAGGATGAAGATGGCCAGTGTGTGAAATGTGCTCACTTGGTCGGCTGAATAAAGTTAACTTGACGCAGAATCTGACCAAAATTGCCTCCCCCCCCCAGCATCCACTGCCCCCCAGCACTCACTGCCCCCCAGCACCCACTGCCCCCCCAGCCCCCACTGCCCCCCAGCACCCACTGCCCCCCAGCACCCACTGCCCCCCAGCACCCACTGCCCCCCAGCACACACACCGTCCCCAGCACACACCGCCCCCAGCACACACCGCCCCCAGCACACACACCCCCCACACACACAGCCCCAGCACACACAGCCCCCAGCACACACCGTCCCCAGCACACACCGTCCCCAGCACACACAGCCCCCAGCACACACAGCCCCCTCACACACAGCCCCCAGCACACACCGCCCCCAGCACCACACCGCCCCCGATAAAGCATACGCAGTAAATAAGCCAAATTAAGCCAAAGCTTCACAAAGAATGATAAAAATCCTGTAATTAAAAACGAGTAATTTATAAGAATGATTTATTTCCTGTAATTTATAAGAAAAAAACATCAACATTAGCGCCGAGGAGAACAAGAGGACAGAAAGTGGCACCTGTCAACCGATCTGAATTTCGAACAATTTACCGGCGTGGCCTTCTCCAATGGCCAATATTCCCTGCCAATCCGAAGTTAACAACCCTTTTATCGAATCGAAGCCTGGCAAAAAGGGCTCACCTCCCTATCTGTCTCCCCCAGGAGAACAACTCTCGTCCTCGGTATGCAGATCTGTTGATCCGCGGTGGCAGGGGATAACTCTACCTAAATCTCCACGGTGGGAGGGGATAACTCTACCCCCACTCTCCACGGTGGCAGGGGATAACTCTACCTAACTCTCCACGGTGGCAGGGGATAACTCTACCTAACTCTCCACGGTGGCAGGGGATAACTCTACCTAACTCTGCACGGTGGTAGGGGATAACTCTACCCCACTCTCCACGGTGGCAGGGGATAACTCTACCCCACTCTCCTCGGTGGCAGGGGATAACTCTACCTAACTCTGCACGGTGGTAGGGGATAACTCTACCTAACTCTCCACGGTGGCAGGGGATAACTCTACCTAACTCTCCACGGTGGCAGGGGATAACTCTACCTAACTCTGCACGGTGGCAGGGGATAACTCTACCTAACTCTCCACGGTGGCAGGGGATAACTCTACCTAACTCTGCACGGTGGTAGGGGATACTCTACCTAACTCTCCACGGTGTAGGGGATAACTCTACCTAACTCTCCACGGTGGTAGGGATAACTCTACCTAACTCTCCACGGTGGCAGGGGATAACTCTACCCCACTCTCCTCGGTGGCAGGGGATAACTCTACCTAACTCTGCACGGTGGTAGGGGATAACTCTACCTAACTCTCCACGGTGGCAGGGGATAACTCTACCTAACTCTGCACGGTGGCAGGGGATAACTCTACCTAACTCTCCACGGTGGCAGGGGATAACTCTACCTAACTCTCCACGGTGGTAGGGGATAACTCTCCCCCACTCTCCACGGTGGCAGGGAATAACTCTCCCCCACTCTCCACGGTGGCAGGGGAGAACTCTCCCCCTCTCCACGGTGGCAGGGTATAACTCTCCCCCACTCTGCACGGTGGTAGGGGATAACTCTCCCCCACTCTCCTCGGTGGTAGGGGATAACTCTACCCCACTCTCCTCGGTGGTAGGGGATAACTCTCCCCCACTCTCCACGGTGGTAGGGGATAACTCTCCCCCACTCTCCACAGTGGCAGGGGAGAACTCTCCCCCACTCTCCACGTGGCAGGGGAGAACTCTCCCCCACTCTCCACGGTGGTAGGGGATAACTCTCCCCCACTCTCCACGGTGGCAGGGGATAACTATCCCGTAAACTGAAAATCTGTAATGCACTGCTGTACACCTGTACTACTTGTGACTGCACATGTTGAGATGCAACTCCGGAGGAAATACCGAAAACCGGCATTGGAATGGAACCAATTTACCCGTGAGCCGCTCATGTTTACAACCTCTTTCCATTTTCTATTTCCTCATGCACAAATGGCGCAGTCGCCCCCTGTAACACAGCGCTTCCCACCCCCTTCCTCCTCTTCCTCCCTGTTTGGGACGTCTCGTACCCTTCCTGTAGCTTGTACATCTATCTATCTGCCTGTAGAGTTAACATTCAATCCAACCATTTTGCTCCTATGCGTGAGTACTAAGTCATACTTTTTTCTCTCCAGCAGACACGAGGATTGTGCCATTGGCTCGAGGCGTTATCCTACCCAAGCTTCCACTCCGCTATCCTACCGAAGACCTCACTCACTCTCCAACAAGATAACACGCCTTAACACCCAGCTTAAGATTCCTCGCCTTATAATCCTGACTATAAGGAGGCCCATCAGTTTCTCTGTAAGTCTGTCTCTCTTTCCCCTCCCCCTCTTTCTTTCTCTCTGTCTCTAATTCCTGCAAATTAGTATGTTTCCTAATCCTGGGGTGGTATGGCTGGTATTTATGAGATGGTTGGTGAATGGCATGGTTGGTATTAATGATATTGTTCATGAGTGGTATGGTTGTATTAAATTGGTTGGTAATGGTTAGCAAGAATGTGAGACAGGTGGCGAATGGTGTGGTTGGTATCAGAGAGAAGTTGCTTCAAGATTGGACGCTGATCCGACTAATTAAGAAACGACTTAGAGGTAATGACCTTCTTACAAATTACTTACGAATCTCTCCGGAAGAGCTAATAAACGAAAAGTTTTATAAGTAGCAATTATTGGTTTGTCTGAAACAGAAAACAACAATAATAATAATAATAATAATAATAATAATAATAATAATAATAATGTAAACAAAAAATTATTGAAAAGTCCTTCATTAATCAATCCTGTGAATATACCATAGAGACCCAAGTACTCCAGGGTACCATGATCGTACCACTCCTGCGAAACATCTTGTTCCATGACGGCCTGCCGCCAAACACACACCGAAACTACGACGTTGGTACAACGTTCGAACAAGTTTTAACACCTCCTAACCAGTTATAACAACCAATATAGCAAGTTGTAACAACGTTCTAATACGTCATAAACACATTAAGCCAAGATGTAACAACTTTATTACAAGCTGTAACAAGCGGAAAATAAGAGACAGTTTCGGTTTGTGTTTCCAGGGATTGCCGTTAGTACCAACAGACACCGCCAATGTAGATGACACAAAAACATCTTCTCAGGGATGTCAAGATGTAAAACACATCAACGATCCCCCTGGAAACTACCTTATCATCAACGGTAAAGTAATTGTTGTTCCATGTACAACTCAACTGTTGGTTATCTCTCATCGAGGCACAAGACATGTCGTCCTGTCAAAAGTCTAGACAAGACAATGCTGAATATGCTATCGAAGGGGGCGAGATATGTGGCACATATGACACGGGGTGACATATGTGACATGGGGTGAGATATGTAACAACTAAAGTACGACACTAAAGCCCCGAAATCATCTCAAGATAACCTCAAGATAACCTCAAGATAACCTACCCTTTGCGCGAACCATACAATTTCCAGGTTGCTGCCTCCTGAAATACCAAAATGAGTTTTGTAATTTTGCGTAACACACTGAATACCAAAGCATTTCGTCACTTTCGTCACCATTAAAATGTCTTCCTAATAATGACCAATAACGTACAATAGAACTCAATACAAATTAATAATTACAACGTTGCTAGAGATAACTAAACAACTAAGGTAGCTTGCAATCTTCCAGTAAACTTTAACACAAGACGAATATTATAAAGTGAGGTAGAAAATAATAGAGCACACAAGGCCACCCCCTCCCCCGAATGCTGCATATATAGGTATATATATATATATATATATATATATATATATATATATATATATATATATATATATATATATATATATATATATATATATATATGTATATATTAGTATATTTTGGTAGCAGTCTTTCCTGTAGACATATATTATTAAATATGACCGAAAAAGTAAGATTAATAATTCTAACACAAATTTTCTCAATGTTTCTTATATTTCTTTTCACTGTTGATGGTAACTGAAAAATCAATTCTCCAAAATTCATTTTTATTTCTAGTCTGACGCGACACTTGAACGCGTTTCGTAAAACTTATTACATTTTTATGTAATTTCATATATATATATATATATATATATATATATATATATATATATATATATATATATATATATATATATATATATATATTATATATATGGTCGTACCTAGTAGCCAGAACGCACTTCTCAGTCTACTATGCAAGGCCCGATTTGCCTAATAAGCCAATATTTTTTCTAATTTTTTTCTGAATTAATATATTTTCTCTAATTTTTTTCTTATGAAATGATAAAGCTACCTATTTCATTATGTATGAGGTCAATTTTTTTTTATTGGCATCAAGTTAAAAGCTTTCTAACGTAGATATATGACCGAACCTAACCAACTCTACCTAACCTAACCTAACCTATCTTTTATATCAGAGATACGTTAGGTTAGTTGTTAGGTAGCCGAAAAAGTAATAGGTTAGGTTAGGTTAGCGTAGTCGAAAACCAATTAATTCATGAAAACTTGGCTTATTACGCAAATTGGGCCTTGCATAGTAGGCTGAGAAGTGCATTCTGGCTACTATATATAGACATTATATATATATATATATATATATATATATATATATATATATATATATATATATATCTATATATATATATATATATATATATATAGATAGATAGATAGTGTGTGGTGTGTGTCTGTGTGCGGAAAATCCACATTGAAATATAAAGGAAACTGCAAAGATTTCAAGCATTATAAACGTGAACTACTCCACTATGGGGCCAATAGACCCGCTGCAGCTTACCAAACTCCAGTGTAACAAGAACAGCTTGGGCAGTATGCTGGGTGTCTCGTCTTGGTCTCGAAGATGGCAGTGTGTGACCGAGCGCTTGCTTGTTTGTGCAAACAGATAGTGCCAAACATATATATCTTATTGATATTTAAGTAATACTCAAGGTGACCATTCCTCACTCAATGAGTTTTATAAGTTTGAGAGGGAAGAATGATTTAGAAAGAGAGAGAGAGAGAGAGAGAGGGGGGAAAGAGGGAGCAAGAAACTAGCACGTCCTCAGATTAGGTAAAATTGTAATTAATTTTGTCAATAAAGATTTTAATAATAAATAATTAAACTAACCAGTTTAAGAATCTAAGTCTCAAACTGTCAAGCCCTTGAACTGTCAGCACAAACACACACAAAAATAAAACATTCACACACACACATATAAACTAAACCTTTATACCAAACACAACAACCACTATCCCTCCACCTCAAGCAGCCAGGCAAACAACCACAACACTCGTAGACACAAACAACCACAACACTCGTAGACACAAACAACCACAACACTCGTAGACACAAACAACCACAACACTCGTAGACACAAACAACCACAACACTCGTAGACACAAACAACCACAACACTCGTAGACACAACAATCTACAACACTCGTAGACACAAACAACCACAACACTCGTAGACAAAACAATCTACAACACTCGTAGACACAAACACCACAACACTCGTAGACACAAACAACCACAACACTCGTAGACACAAACAACCACAACACTCGTAGACACAAACAACCACAACACTCGTAGACACAAACCAACCACAAACACTCGTAGACACAAACACCACAACACTCGTAGACACAAACAACCACAACACTCGTAGACACAAACAACCACAACACTCGTAGACACAAACAACCACAACACTCGTAGACACAAACAACCACAACACTCGTAGACACAAACAACCACAACACTCGTAGACACAAACAACCACAACACTCGTAGACACAAACAATCTACAACACCCCATAACAAAACCCCCAACCAATATGAACTTTTACAACCATACAATATGGCCCCTTTTCGAATCTCTCTCGCTCTCTCAGCTTTGATAAACAAGACTAATGGGTATATTAGCTGGAACGACCGTTGGGATTATACTGGCGTCTGGGACACCTCGGTGGGACACCTTGGGACTCGCTGGGACACCCTCGTCGGAAGGTTCACGCAGCAACAGGCGCCGACAATGAAGCTCCCACCTGCCCTGTTTTCATCTTCATTCTTGCCTGTTTATCTCTGTGGAGTCCCTCGTGTTTGTGGTGATGGAGGGCCAGGGGTAGGACCAGACGAGAGAGAAGGAGAAGACAAGAAGGTTAAATATAGAAGGTTAAATCAAGAAGGAATAAGAAGAGGAGGAGGAGGAGGAGGAAGTGCTTACCTATGTTAGAATTTAACTTCCTTGACCCTTGCATTCTTTGACAAATCTAACGTAAGTAGCAGACAGGAAGAGTCTTTCACAACTTTCTCTTTCACAAACTATTACTTCTATCTATTATCTATCTAGTACTACCCCCTTACTACAAATTACTACTCTCTCTCTTCAAAAGAATATTATCATCCTTCCTTCGTAAGATTCCTGTGGGTTAAAATGAGCTTTGTCACCTCTTTTTATATGTTTTCCAATAAAATTATGTTGATTTTCTTGAGTGTTGACCCCAAAACAAGTCATAATCTCGGTCTGACGCCCGCGGGGTCACGCTCTAAGGTAACTCTACTATTACTTACCGTTTCTACATAGAGACCCAATAGCTGTCTTGGTGTTTAGGTAATTCTCAGGGGAAATGGCTCAGCAAGTTCTTTTGCAGCTTGGCGTTCGATACCCCGATGATCATAGCGGCTGGGCATCATATTCCCTCACTCCGTCCTATATAAACCCTTGAACTATATGTTTAACACATCTCTAACCCTGTCCATGGAGGACAGAAGAAATTGTATATATGCTGGTTAGCATTGTAAATGTGTGGCCACGTTTGTGGTAGAAAATAATAATAATAAAAAAATCCGTCCTCATATCATTTATAAACTCTATATCCTCATACTATGAAGCGCTTTCTCCTCATAATTATCTTGCCTCTCCAGCTCTTATCTCCTAATCTATCTATTACAGAACATTACCTCATATCTTCCTTATCAACTTATCGTGCGGAATTATGAGGATTTACCTCATATGAAGAAGATGTAAATAATGCTAATTTCTTTCTCATTATAATCACTCAACTGTCATTAACTTCCATTCAATGGAATAGTTTTTTGCTTAAGCATTTGGTTGACATAACTGAGGAACATTGAAAACCTTTGAGGATTAAGGGAGTTCACCATTTTCTAAGGCCAGGATTTATCACTTAACGAAACCTCTACATCTTTCCTCAATCAATGGCGGCTTTGCATTTATTAAACTGTTTATGAGTTCCGAAGCCCCGCGAGGTTGTCTATAACAATAATTAATTCGGGTTACTTGGTTTCATAACCCGTAAGTTGTTTGATAAATATAGACCCAATTGGCATGACTAAAGAAAAATGTACAGGTTAAACCTTTTGGGCATGTAAGTGGGCATGTAAGTGGGCATGTAAGTGGGCATGTAAGTGGGCATGTAAGTGGGCATGTAAGTGGGCATGTAAGTGGGCATGTAAGTGGGCATGTAAATTCTTTGTTAAATCCTGGCCCAGAACCTCGTTCCTTATACTCTCCTTATAAGGAGAGCATAAGGCTCTCTTATAAGGAGAGTATAAGGCTCCTTAGGCTCTTTCTTACACTCACTTTCCCCAATATACCCATTCCTTGGTACTTTCCCAATACCAGTTTCCTTGTATCTTTACCTCTTGACTTCCCATTACCAACCATTTGGACCCCACGACTGTCCCCCCCGGGACCCCACTGTCTACCATTATGACCCCACGGCTCTTCACTCTGTACCCCACTATCTGCCATTTGGACCACACGACCGGTCTTACCTGGACCCCACTCCGACATTTCCAGTCCTTTTGCCCGTATCGTTGGGAACCCCCCCCCCCCCATTACCCTCCTGCCATTCCCTCCACTACACTCCCCACTCCCCCCATCACCTCCAACCCAAAACCTTGCCCCTCACCCATTTAGCCAGTGTGTCATACAAACCTTTTACCAACCACAACACAATACCTGATTGGCTGTCAAAGATGCCGCCATTTTCTGAGGCCAATGATGGTGTGCGTGCATAGGGGGGGGGGGGGTAGGTGGTGACTGTGTGTGTGGGGGGGGGAGGTGTCAGTGGTTGGGGAAGGTGACAGTGTACCCACCTAATTTTACTCGCCTAGTTGTGGTTGTGGGGATTGAACTTCGGCTGTTTGGTCTCGCCTCTCTACTG